GCATGTATACAAGTCCTTCGGTTGATCTATTATCTCCCCCAGATCTCCCTCCCCTCCCCACTGTAATTTGACAGTCTGCTTGTTGTTTTACTATCTCTATATCTATCTTTTGGTGCATCAGTTTATAATGTACTTTATTATCCATAAATGAGTGAGGTCATGTGGTGTTTCTCTTTCATTGACTGGCTTATTTCACTGAGCATGATGTTCTCCAATTCCATCCAGGTTGCTGCAAATGATGAGAATTTTTTCTTTTGTATGGCAGCATAGTATTCCATTGTGTAGATGTACCATAGTTTTTTGATCCAATCATCTGCTGACGGGCCCCTAGGCTGTTTCCAAATTCTAGCTATTGTAGATTGTGCTGCTATAGGGGTGCATATATCCTTTCTGATTGGTGTTTCTATAATAGTTTCTTGGAATCTATTCCTAGGAGTGGAAGTATTGACTCAAATGGGAGTTCCATTTTCAGTTTTTTGAGGAAACTCCACACTGTTCTCCACAGTGGTTGCACCAGTCTGCATTCCCACCAGCAGTGCACGAGGGTTCCTTTTTCTCTGCAATCTAGCCAACACTTGTCGTTTTGTTGGCCATTCTGACAGGTTTCACCCATTTTTTTTAAATTTAGAAGCTCTTGGTATATTACTTTACAAACTACACAAATATTTTGGTAAATATAGATTTAGAGATTCAAATGACATGTTTTACTTAGCTAAATTATTTTTTTTACAGTACATTTTGAAGTCCCACTACTCATCCTACCTTATCAAAGAGAACAGATTGCCAACTCATAGAATAGTAATAATTATCATTTCAGCCACAAAGTTTTGAGGTAATTTGTTTCACAATGAAGGCTAACTGAACCAGAAATATTCCCTTAAATCGTTTGTGTATGAAAATTATCGGGTCTAGTAATAATTAATGTCGTTTTTAAACATTCGTTTAAAATCTTGCTTGGCGTTGACTTGTATTGACATAACCTTCAAACACGTGGTATCTACAGAACGTGTGAAGTGCAATTAACAAGTTTTGCTTGAAAAAGTTTGTGTTTGGTTTGGTTTTTGTTGCAAAACTAGGGCTAAGAAGATGGCGGATGAAGAGCATATTCGGCACTGCATGCTTTACGAGTTCCAATTAGGAAGAAAAGCAAGTGAGGCTGCAAAAAACATCTGTAGTGCTCTTGGTCAAGATGCAGTTAGCGCCAGAAATGCCAGCGTTGGTTTGAGAAATTTCGCGAGGGAAATTTTTCGTTAGATGACAAGAGTGGTAGAGGCCGTGTGTCCAATTTTGATCAAGAAGCTCTTCAAGCTCTTTTGGTGCAAAATCCTCAAACTACCCAACAAGAGCTTGCGACAACTTTAAATTGTTCACAAAAAACAATTTCCAATCAATTGCGTGCACTTGGCAAAGTCCAAAAGTTTGGAAAATGGGTTCCTCATGAGTTGACCGACAACAACCGTAATCAAAGAGTCACAATTTGCAGTTTGCTCCTCTCTCGTCAAAACCGTTTGCCATTTTTAGAGCAAATTGTTACCGGAAATGAAGAATGGGTGCTGTATGTTAATTTGAAAAGGCGGCCTCAATGGTTGGACAAAAATGAGGCTCCGCAGCCCACGCCAAAACCTGACTTGCATGCGAAAAAAGTGATGTTGTGTGTTTGGTGGAATTTTAAAGGAATTCTTCATTATGAACTTTTACCATCTACCTAAACCATTACAAGTGCAGTGTATAGTGCCCAATTGGAAAGGTTAGCCCAAGCTTTAAGAGAAAAAGAACCCGCACTGATTAATCGGAAGGGCGTAATTCTTCACCACGATAACGCACGACCGCATACTGCAAGAATCACTGCTGAAAAACTGCGCCAGTTGGAATGGGAAGTTCTCCCTCAACCTGCATATTCTCCTGATATTGCCCCTTCCGATTACCATTTGTTTCGTTCTTTGCAAAACTTTCTTCTTGGAAAAAAATTTAATAATGAAGAATGACTCAAAAATGCATTGACCGAATTTTTTGCATCAAAATCACAAGAATTTTACAACAGAGGGATTAAAATGCTTCCTGAGCATTGGGTACAAGTAGTATAATAGAAAACAACGGCAACTATATTGTTGATTAAATTTTATTGTATTGTTTAAATAAATTCGATTTAAAAAAGTATTAGAAAACGACATTAATTATTACTAGACCTAATAGACTGGTGGGTATAAGTACTGGGCATCAACTTTTGGATGCTATAATCAAGTGGAGGGATATATCACATCCTAGTTGAGTCTCAAATACAATTTATTAAATGTAAATGTAAGATGAGGCAATGAAACACAAAGCGAATTTATTGGGTGAATCTATTAATTCATTAATTCAACAAATATTTATTGTATGCATTCTAAATACCAAGTACTATTTTAGGAAATGGAACAGACACTGTCCCTGCCTTTGTATAGTTTATAGTCTAAGGAAAAAAGTAATTAAGTAATTCCAAAAAGTTTGATAAGAAAGCACAGGTTGCTGCTCACTAAACAAACTTAGAGCATTAGGGAAGGCTTTCCAAAGGAAGTGGTCTTTAAGCTGACAGGTGAAGGATGAGTAGAAATTTAGCCAGAAAGGGGTATAGGAAACTGGGGTCTGACGACTATAAATATGCTTCAATGAAGGAAACATTACCTATGAAGGCTCAGAGGTGAGAAAAACAATCACAATAATTTCTGTGTAGTATGTATATGGAAAAGCACAAGAGATGAAGGTTGGGAGTAGGTCAGCAACTAGTAAAAAAGTTTGGATCTGTTGAATTTGGAGATGAAAAATGACATGATTGCTTTTAGACAAAGCAATATGACAACTGAGTAGAGAGATTTGACAAAATCTGAGCTGTTATAAACAGTTCAGGTGAGAAAAATTTTTAATTAGAAAAGTGATAAAGGGGATGGAGACATAGATGGATTTAAGATTTTTAGGCGATAAAGTCTCCAGACTTGATATATCTATAATAATAATTAGACTGGACAGCCAAAGGACCTCTGGACAACCTTCCAGATGAAGCTGGGGCTGTAAGGGCTGAGCCCCTTGCAAGAATTTCATGCATGGGGCCTCTGGTAATTACATATAGATAGTGAAAAAGCAGGAGTGCCTGGCAGGTGTTGCTCAGTGGTTGCCAGTCACCATTAGATTCCCAGTCAGGGCACATTCTGACTGTGGCCTCCACTCTAGTAGAGAGTGTGCTGGAGGCAACTCATTAATTCTCTCTCATCATTGATGTTTCTATCACTCCCTCCTCTCCTTTCCTCTCTGGAGTCAATAAAAAATACCTTTTTTTTTTTTTTAAAGAAGAGTTAAGATTATTTTTATATTTCTGGTGCTGGCAACTGAGTAAATAGTTGAAGTCGTTCATGGAAACTGAAACACTGAAAACAACAACAACATATTGGAGGACTATGAATTTAAGGTACTTTAAGTTTACCAAGTGCAGTTGTCCAGTAAGTAGCTAGATAAAACTCGGCAGAGAAGCCTAGGCTGGAAATACAGATTTCAGAGTCATCAGCCATAGTTGGCAAGTCGGGTGTGTGTGTGTGTGTGTGTGTGTGTGTGTGTGGGGGGGGGTGGGGGGGTGGGGGGGTGGGGGGGGTGGGGGGGGTGGGGGGGGGGTGGGGGGGTGGGGGGGTGGGGGGGGGGGGTGGGGAGCGGAGGGAGCTCAGAGCGAACAGGAACAGCCCTGGGAAGATAAGTTTTCCTTTCACAAATATTTGATTCTATAAAATACACTCTCATGAGTTTTTTTGTTTTGTTTGTTTTTTAGACATTTCTGCATTATTCTCCACAATTTGGAGCAAGTGGAGATGGATATAAGCACAGAGATTTTAACAAGCAGGGTCAGAACAGTTGTCATAGCTTTTACAACAAACTGAGAAAGGATTGCGGGATAGTGGTGCTAGAAAAGTGGCTCCTCTTGAGATAGATTACTTGGGGATTGGCAACAGTTGGAAAAGCAAAAAGCCGTTGCTTCTATGTGGACAAAAAGCAATTCTGCCAGCCGTTAGAATTTGGGGCAGGGGTTCCACCCAAACTTGCCATAAGATGGGGCAATATAAAGTGGCCGAGATTATTACAAGAGGCACTAAGAGTCAAAGGGCTAAAAACAAGAGAATCTAAAAAGATTAGTTACTTGGGAAAAGACAAGTGAACCAGCGGCGAGGTAGGGTTTGCTGAGGTTCCGTAGGACTCGTTTTTCCGTCCATTTAAACACTTTAAACACAAAGGGAAACTGGCTTAGCGGCCCCTCCCACACACCGGAAGCAGAACCTTTGCACCCCGGCGCATTACACATTCCTCCGCGCCGGAAGTGCGCGTCTCACCTCACTTCCGTGTACTTCCCTCCACCCTCCAGGAGATATCATGGAACTTCCCAGGTATGCCGGTTGAAGTCGTAGGACAGCGCGGAACTTTCACGGACAAGGAGAACAACTCTGAATTGCCAGGAAAGGGAGGAAGACGGAAGGTTGCAGGACGAGGCGTCGTGTTGCTGCGGAGGGATTCTGTCCCAGGGTGGCGGAGGGATTTGACAGCACGTTCACTTCCGGAAAAGTCCCAGCTCTGTGAAGAGAAGCCCCGAAGGAAACAATAACAAACGAAGGAGGAAGCGATTCTGCGGTTCCTGTGCTGAGCAGTTTTGCCCCAGAAGATGAGCTTCGGACCCCGTCAGGGGACGTGAAGGAGTTCGGGGGGCTTCAGCCAGCCTTTGCCCACCTGCTTCCCCGCGGAGCCCCCTGGGCTTGGCCATGGCGGGCGCGGGGCCGGGGGGCTACGCGGCGGAGTTCGTGCCGCCGCCGGAGTGCCCGGTCTTCGAGCCGAGCTGGGAAGAGTTCACAGACCCGCTCAGCTTCATCGGCCGCATCCGGCCTCTGGCGGAGAAGACCGGCATCTGCAAAATTCGACCGCCCAAGGTACCTGCGTCTGAGGATAGGGGAGAGGAGGAGAGCGGGGGAGTCGATGCATTTAGTTTAGTTTTACTCTTCCGGTCCTTCTGTCTTTTCATATTCGCCCTCCTTTATTTCTCAACAACAAGAAGCTAAGTTTCTGGGGTTTTTTTTGCCTTGGTTTCTCCTGCGGTCTTATGTACGCCTGTCTGAACAGGGGAGTGGTGTCCCTGAGGCCTCCGCGTCGAACTTGGGAACTGATACTTTTCTTCCTGGATTGTGGGCAAGGGCTTTAGGTTTTTCATCGGCCGGTGAGGTGTTTGCAGTATTATGGCATGATGTGTCCTACCCTCCTGTACAAGTCATTTCAGTACGAGAATAAAAACTCCTCCGTCGGCTGTTTCTTTATCCAAGCCTTATTAATGCTTAATTTGTTAAATATTTGGAGGCCTTATCTCACGGCTAAGGTTTCTTTAACAGTAATCTGAGCTCTAGTTGTCCCACTAGGATGGTATCACCAAACAAGAACCCCAGACTAATTACTGCTGCAATGAAAAAGTCCTCCCTGGGGAAGATAAGGGGCAGCATTTGTTTTTAAAATGTAGAGGTTTAGGAAGAGTTGTCAGTGATAGACGTGAAAGAAAACGAAATATTTTGAAGTTAGGAATGGTGGATTAAAGATTTACGAATCTCAGTTACTGCAAATAACCGGCTTATAGGTTAATTACATCAATATTTAAGGTAGAGAAAGCAATTACTCCTACTTTGAGGCAGTTAATGCACCGAGAAACTGAGTGATTTGTTCAAGGTCAAGAGTCTTAACCCATTAGACCAGAGCTTTTCAAACGATGTTCTTGTCGCACCTGCACCAAGGTCAGCCTGATGCGTGTTAAAATGTAGGTTCCTCGGCCTCATTCCCGGGCCAGAATCAGTGTCTGTATGTGAAAGACCTAAAATGTGCTTTTCCAGCAACTACTCGCAAATGATTATTAATGCACATTAAAGTTTGGGAACCATTGCCTTAGTGCTTTTTTTTTTTTAAATATATTTTATAGATTTTTTACAGAGAGGAAGGAGAAGAAAGAGAGTTAGAAACATTGATGAGAGAGAGACATCGATCAGCTGCCTCTTGCACACACCTCACTGGGATCGTCCCGCAATCAAGGCACATGCCCCCAACCAGAATGGAACCCGGGACCCCCAGTCTGCAGACCAACGCTCTGTCCACTGAGCCAAACCGGTTTCGGCAACTTAGTGCTTTTAAAGGAACACCTTGCTTTATGTTTTGTCTACTAATAATACAACTAAAATGTTAAGTACTCTTTCCCGTGTTGCATTTTAAAAAGCATCTATTCTCACTACAGACTACTATGATGATGTGCACCACAGTGAATAAAAAGAGAAGATGGGAGGGAGGAGAGAGGAGCTAATATAGCACCTGCAAACTATTAAATATTTTATTTAATATTCTTTGAAGCTCTAGGAGGCAACTAAAGTCCATTTTACAGATGAGGCAGGTCTGTGTAAGTTGAATAACTTATCAACTGTATTATTTGGGCAAGTAGCAAAGTAGATTTGGAACATAGGCCCATCTGTTTGCTTCTAAATCCAGACATGTTACTTCCATTGTGCTAAATGAATTTAAGATTATAGACTATCAGTTGCAAGTAAAGCATTAACAGATAGTTGCTATGGTGAGCGATTATATAGGCATTGCCATCCTCCAAAAGCTGCTAACATTTTTCTATCAAAATTACCTAATATTGACAAAGCCTTAAGCACTGCAGGTTTTCCTGAATCATATTTTTTACTGTTGCCTTTATGAATTAGAAATTATGTTCAAGGTCCCTTTCGGTAAAACAAAACAATATAAGTTCTGTTTTTTTGTTTTGTTTTTTTTTTTAATTAAAAAAAAAAGGTTGGAATAATATACCTTCTCTTTGTATGTCACCTTAATGAAAATTTAATTTCAATTAACTTAATTTCAATATTGGTGGATTTCTTTAGTTTCCAAGGTAAGATAAATGTTTTTGATTACTCAGGTTTTCAAATAGATTTACTAATATTCTGGCCAAATCAAAGTATGTTCTCTAGAACCCTACTTGCATTGTGCTGTCTCATTTAGTTACACTGCATCTCCAATCTAGAAACTGTCCTTGTTCTATAGGTTTGCTTACTTATAAAAAAATTACTTGGATGCCCATTTATATAACATAGACTGTAAAGTGCTGTGTCACATTATTCATGAATGAAAAACATCCAATTATATAAGTACTTAAAATTTTTATATCTTTAATTGTACGCTTTTTGTTTTTTTCAAATTCTTTCTTTTTTATTTGTAAACTTGAATGTTTATTAGACATTGCATTGAGATACATGAGCACACTGTGTTGTACTTGACTAATTGGGGAAAGCATAATTGTGGGATGTAAACAGTGGTACTTGTGAGATTTGAGGATTTATAGATAAAAATTTTAATACTAAGAATATTAGAGATAAGTAATTTTATCTAAAAATATTACTCTTTGGCCTAACTGTTGTGGCTCAATGGTTGATCATTGTCCTATGAACCAGGAAGTCATGGGTCTATTCCTGGTCTGGGCACCTGCTTAGGTTGCAGGTTCAATCCCCAGTGTGGGGCGTAGAGGAGGCAGCTGATCAATGATTCTCTCTCATTAATATTTCTATCTCTCTTTCTCCCTTCCTCTCTGAAATTAATAAAAATATTTAAAATATTACTCTTTCTGTGGTATAATAAAGAAGACTTATTAGTTCTCTTATGATATTTGATAATTCACTCCTTAAATTGAGGGAAGAAATAATGCATTCCTTGCTTATATGCCAATATATCAATACATTAAAATAAAAATCTTTCTATTTAGGATTGGCAACCTCCATTTGCATGTGAAGTAAAAAGCTTTCGTTTCACACCCAGAGTCCAGCGCCTGAATGAACTTGAAGTGAGTATTATATAGCCATTGCTGCTTCCTGATTCTTTTTTTTTTTTTTTTTTTTTTGTTAGGGCTCTTGGTAGAGAACTTTGAGAAGTTCATGTACCAGAGTTAATGTTAATTGGGATTGAATGGAAGGACGTTTCTGATTTTAAAAAGTTTCAGGTTGTTAATACTGTTTTCACTTAACTGGGATTATGGGAAATAATCTCTAGCCACATTTTTTGTAGTTGAAATATCCAGCTTAGTTAATTTCAGAAACCTGGAATTCTTTTTTTTTTTTTTTTTTTTTTTAATAAATTTTATTGATTTTTTACAGAGAGGAAGAGAGAGGGATAGAGAGTTAGAAACATTGATGATGTGCCTGGGGATGTGCCTGCGACCAAGGTACATGCCCTTGACCAGAATCGAACCCGGGACCCTTCAGTCCGCAGGCCGACGCTCTATCCACTGAGCCAAACTGGTCTCGGCAGAAACCTGGAATTCTTAAGTTGTACTTTCTTCAGCACTTGTTTTACTAAAAGTTTTATTTATTTATTTATTTATTTATTTATTTATTTATTTATTTATTTTTTTTATACTGTTGGAAGATTGCCTCCTGTGATCTTTGGAAAATAGTTTCATAATTTCTATCAAAAAACCTAGTTTTGCCAGGACCGGTTTGGCTCAATGGATAGAGCGTCGGCTTGGGGACTGAAGGGTCCCGGGTTCGATTCCGGTCAAGGGCATGTACCTTGGTTGCGGGCATATCCCCAGTAGGGGGTGTGCAAGAGGCAGCTGATCGATGACTCTCTCTCATCGATGTTTCTGGCTCTCTATCTCTCTCCCTTCCTCTCTGTACAAAATCAATAAAATATATTAAAAAAAAAAAAAAAAGAAAGAAAAGAAAATAAGGTGGTAAATATTTAAAAAAAAAAAACCAAAAAAAAAACCAAACCTAGTTTTCAGAAGTCCCACCCTCCTCTTTTGACTAACAGAACTTTTCCAGGGGAATAAAGTTTTAATTAACTTTTAATTTTTTAAATTAAAATCTTTAATTAAAATCAACTTGATTTGTTAAGATCTCCCTTTAAATATTACTAATCTCTGTTTAGATATTGTTGTTCTTGTCTGCCAGATTTTTTAGGAGATTTTTTTAGTGTGATAGAAAACAGTTTCAGCGTACAAAAGAGAAATCTTAGCTAAGGCTTACTATGTCATGTGAGACTTTTTTCCCTTTGATGCTCCTAAAACATTTTTGGAGATTTTAATATATATCTTTTTCCTGTAGTCTCTTGTAATTAGATACTTGATGAAGGCTTTTAATATAAGGGAGGTAGAGAATTGGTGTTCCTTAAGCATGTTACCTACAGATGAAATGGCCAGAATGCTTAGAAACAGAGTAATTTGATCTAAATTTTCTGGTTAGTTTAAATTTAAGCCATCTTCATCCAGAAAATTACTTTGGGTGATAATATGAGACCCGTTCATATATATTAGAGTACCTTTTTTTGCCTTAATGAATAAACTTTATTAGAAATATTTTGCTTTTTTATTATTAGCTTGCTTTACAAGGTTGGACTAAGCAATAATGAAAAATCTGAATTTCTTTAGAGAAATGAATACCTTTGTTAAGTGAAATACATTTATTTTCAACCATAATGTGGTTTTTATTTCTGATTTCTGTATTTTAATAATCTTAGGCAATGACAAGAGTGAGATTGGATTTCTTGGATCAACTAGCAAAATTTTGGGAACTTCAAGGATCTACTTTGAAGATCCCTGTGGTAGAAAGAAAAATCCTGGATCTGTATGCTTTGAGCAAGGTGAGGCTTTTACTGGGTTTAGAAATTGGGGAATTTCTAAATTTATTAAATTTCTGAATTTATTAAATTAGAAATTTCAAATACACTTGACAGAAAAGGAATCATTACTGCCTATGTAGGATTTGTTTAACAGTGAACTGCAAACATGAATAGAAATGAGAGAGCTCAAAGTTATCTTTAAAATCTATTTTATTGTTTCTTATGAGAATCATATTTAATGACACTCAGATTAATAGGCTCTCTTGTACACAATAATGGAAAAGAAAAGACACCAACCTAGCCGGGACCGGTTTGGCTCAATGGATAGAGCGTCGGCTTAGGGACTGAAAGGTCTCGGGTTCGATTCTGGTCAAGGGCATGTACCTTGGTTGCGGGCATATCTCCAGTAGGGGGTGTGCAAGAGGCAGCTGATTGATGACACTCTCTCATTGATGTTTCTAACTCTCTCTCTCTCTCTCTCCCTTCCTCTCTGTACAAAATCAATAAAATATTTTAAAAAAAGATTAAATAAGACTATTTAAATAATTCTACTCCCACTGTTTTATTATGATCTTAAAAAAAAAAAAAAAGACACCAACCTAATAGTATCTTGTGTTGAGTATGTAATGTACTGTGTTGTGCTTGTCCTTTTTTCTACTTTTGAAAAAAATAAATATTTTGTTGATTTTTTACAGAGAGGAAGGGAGAGGGAGAGAGAGTTAGAAACATCGATGAGAGAGAAACATCAATCAGCTGCTTCCTGCACACTCCCCACTGGGGATGTGCCCGCAACCAAGATACATGCCCTTGACCAGAATCAAACCTGGGACCCTTGAGTCCGCAGGCCGACGCTCTATCCACTGAGCCAAACCGGTTAGGGCCTTTTTTCTACTTTTTAATGTAAATTTGGTATATTAAAGAGGTTGATGTTATTCAACATTATTATGTATGGTGCATGTTACTTATTTTAATACCTCTAAGTAGTGATAATAGTTAACTAAGGTCAGCATTATCCAGTGGAATGAATAATAGCTCACAAACATAAGGTTAAAGTGTTTAGACTTGCTTATAGGATAGATTAACATTGCTATGATCTGAAGGAGGAGGATTTGTTTGTGTCCTTCTGTACGAAATGGCTAAACAGAAAAAAAGTGTTTAAACTAATTTTTGCTTAAACTTAGGTTAGCTTTGTTTAACCTGGTAAACTTAGATTAACTTTACATTCTCTAATGTGAGGAAAACGAACTGACCTGCAACAGGGTATATAGTAATTATCTTGAAGACATATTTTGTTAATACAATAATAAAAATTTATGATTGCTCTAATTTGTGATTGAAGACAGCTTGATTATATGAAGATTTGCAAATCAATATTTATTTTTAAAATAATTAAAAAAAAATCTTTACCTGAGGATATGCTTATTGTTTTTAGAGAGAGGGAAAGGGGGAGAGAGAGACAGAGATATTGATAATCATGTGAGAGAGAAACAGTGATTGGTTGGTTGCTTTCCTGTGCATGCCCAGATCAAACCCACCACATAGGCATTTGGTCTTTACCAGGGAATTGTGCCCTCAGTCTTTTGGTGTGTAGACCAATGCTCTAACCCACGTGTCAAACACAAGGCCCGCGGGCCAAATCCGTCCCGCCAGGCCTTGCAATGTGGCCCGCACCGCGCTGTCATCACTGCACTCCGCTGCGTTTCCATCACAATGACAGTTTATGACTGTTCAGTAAACCATTCGGCCCGCGATTTAGGCTGGATTTTAGATTTTGGCCCCTTCTCTGATTGAGTTCGACACCCCTACGAGTCTAACCAACTGAGCCACACTGACTAGGGCTCAACTTATTTCTGTGGCCTTTTATATCCTACTAGAGGCCCAGTGAACAAAACTCGTGCACGAGTTGGGAGGTGTCCCTCAGCCCAACCTGCACCCTCTCCAATCTGGGACACCTCTGGGGATGTTTGATTGCCCGTCTAGACCTGATCCTGCTGGGATTGGGCCTAAACCAGCAGTCGGACATCCCTCTCTCAATCCAGGACTGCTGACTCCCAACTGCTTGTCTGCCTGCCTTCCTGATTGCCCCTAAACGCTTCTGCCTGCCAGCCTCATCACCCCCTAACCACTCCCATGGCAACCTGATTGATGTCTAACTGCTCCCCTGCCAGATTATTTGCCCCTAACTTCCCTCCTCTGCCAGCCTAGTCACCCCTAACTGCCCTCCCCTGCAGGGTTGATCACCTCTAATTGCCCTCTCCAGCAGGCCTGGTTCCTCCCAACTGCCCTCCCTGCTGGCCGTCTTGTGGTGGCCATCTTGTGTCCCATAGGGGCAGGATCTTTGACCACATGGGGACAGCCATCTTGTGTGTTGGAGTGATGGTCAATCTGCATATTACTTTTATTAGATAGGATAGAGGCCTGGTGCATGGTTGGGGGCCAGCTGGTTTGCCCTAAAGGGTGTCCTGGATCAGGGTGGGGTTCCCTTGGGGTGTGGAGTGGCCTGGGTGAGAGGCCTGTGGTGGTTTGCAGGCCGGCCATGCCTGCCGGGCAACCCAAGCGGAGGCCCTGGTATCTGGAATTAATTTACCTTCTATAATTGAAACTTTGTAGCCTTGAGTGGAAGCTAGGTCAGCCAGGACAGGTGGAAAGCTTTGCTTCCTCCGTTGCCAGGGGCAACCCTAGCCTGCTCTCTCTAGCTCCATGGCTGCCGCCATTTTTCTTGGGATTTATCTTCTAGGTTGGCAAGGACAGGCGGGAAGCTTGGCTTCCGTTGATGGGGAAACCCAAACCTCTTAACTGCTCTCTGTGGCTGCAGCCAGCTTGGTTGGGGTTAATTTGCATACTCACTATGATTGGCTGGTAGGCGTGGCTTGAGCGGAATGATGGTTAATTTGCATATTACTCTTTTATTAGGTAGGATTAATGCCCTGGTGCACAGATTTGTGCACATTGAAAGAAGATTAATTAGAAGGTGGCCGATGGGGTAGGACTAGGCGAGACTTGCCGTACATGCCCTGGAGCCAACCTCCCATGGTTCCTCCCCTGCTGGCTGCATCCGCGGAGTAGCAGAATCCCTTAGGCAGGTGGGGTCTCTTGGCCTGGCCTGCGGGGATTGGGCCAAAACTGGCTCTCCAATATCCCCTGAGGTCTCCTTCTTCTCTGGTTATGGGATGCATTACCAAATCTTGGCCGCTCCTGTGTTGAGTGTCTGCCCCCTGGTGGTCAGTGCATGTCATAGTTACCGGTTGTATGGTTGCTTAGCCTTTTTTGTACTATCTATACTAATAAAAGAATAATATGCTAATTAGGCTGGGAGACCTTGCAGGAGACATTTTTCTGGACAGCCATGGTAGGGGTGCTGAGGTAGAGATGGTTAGAGGCCAAGAGGGGAGGGCAGTTGTGGGTGATCAGGCCTGTGGCGGGGAGTGGGTGACATTGGGGGTGATCAGGCTGGCGGGGGTGGGGCGGGGATTTGGGGGTAAGCAGGCTGGGTCAGTTGGGGGCAAGCAGGGCCAGCAGGCAGATTGGTTAGGGGCACCCAGGCGGGCAGGCAGGTGACCGGTTAGGAGCCAGCAGTCCTAGATTGTGAGAGGGATGTCTGACTGCTGGTTTAAGCCCACTCCCTGTAAACTGGCAGTAGGACATCCTTCAGGCAGCCCAGATTGGAGAGGGTGCAGGCCGGTAGAGGTACACTTCCTCCTCCTCCCCCCCTCCCCCCTGTGCCCGAATTTTATACACTGAGCCACCAGTCTTGAAATAATTTATTTTTTTTCACATTTAAATTGCAGAGTTAATTTTGGAAGATTTCACTTTCAAGGAAAAAAGTAAAAATAATAATATTTAAATTACAATTAATATTTTCAGCTGCCTCCTATATCCTCCTACTGGGGATTGAGCCTATAACCCGATCCTTCAGTCCTCAGGTCAATGCTATATCCACCGAGCCAAACCTGCTAGGGCTAACTCTAAAATATATATATTTTATTGATCTTAGAAAGGAAGGGAAAGGGAGAGAAGGATAAAAACATCAATGATGAGAGAGAATTAATTGGCTGCTTCTTGCACGTCCCCTACTGGGGATCAACCCCGCAACCCAGACATGTGCAGGAATCAAACCTGGGATCTTTCAGTCTGCAGACTGACGCTCTATCTATTGAGCCAAACCAGCTAGGGCTAACTTACTTTTTATGATACATTTGAAAATTAATATTAGGTCAAAATTCTCGAAAAATTTTGTTTTATGCCAAAAATTCTGGGAAGTATAATTTTATGCTAAAATGTAGTTCTAGGTTTGCTTTATCAGTCATGTAATAATGACAATAATTAAGCACTGTGCTGAGAATTACCTAGTGCAGGTGTGTGATACCAGAGGGTAAATATAGTGAATTTGAAGGATGGGTTTGTATCTTGTAGGAAACCATACGGGTAAAAACAATTTTAAGAATTTTATTTTTTAACAATTAAAAGGTAAATATTAGGTTTAAATTAGATGGTAAATTAGGTTGCATTCTTGGTTTTATAGAATTATAGGATTTCAAAATTAGGAAGGGGCTTTGGAGCTAAACTAATCTGAATACCTAGTTGTTCACAATTCTATATAACATTTAATCAGAGTACACGAATCTACTTTTTTCCTTAAATAATTTTTACTTTCTTTTCAGATTGTTGCCAGCAAAGGAGGTTTTGAAATAGTCACAAAAGAAAAGAAATGGTCTAAAGTGGGTAGCCGCTTGGGATATCTTCCAGGAAAAGGAACTGGGTCTCTTTTGAAGTCACACTATGAAAGAATTCTCTACCCATATGAACTTTTCCAGTCTGGTGTCAGCCTTATGGTGAGATGCATCACTTTATTTATTTATTTATTTATTTATTTATTTATTTATTTATTTATTTATTTTTGAGTAGATAAAGCCAGTCTGCTATGTATAAACTTTAGACTGTGTTCACCATAAGGTAGCAGTTGACTGTGCATAGAAAGTTGAAAAAGATTTCTCCTTGTACCAGGATTTTGGGGAGCAAGGTATAGTTTAAAAAAGTTATTTTTGGTGGTTTACAAAATAAAAGCTAATGGGAGTGAAGGCTGTTTCTCTTATTTATTTAAAATAAAGTCCTTTATACTTTTTGAAAAATTTCTCTTTAAAAAAAACCAACAACATATTTTTTATTGATTTCAGAGAACAAGGGAGAGGGAGATAGAGAGATTATAATATCAATGATCAGAGAGACTCATGGCTATCCCCTGCAGGCCCCTTACTGGGGATCAAGCCTGCAACCCTGCATGTGCCCTGACCAGGAATCAAACCCGGGACCCTTCAATCCTTAGGCCAATGCTCTATCCACTGAGCCAAACCAGCTAGGACAAATTCCTCTTCTTTGTTTTATGTATTTAACAGCTTTATTGAGGTATAATTTACATATCATAGAATTCCCTCATTGTAGGTACTCAGTCAAAAGCTTTAATTATATTGCACAATCTAGTTTTAGAACACTTCCCTCAGCACAAAAAGTTCCTTTGTGTTCATTTATTTATTTTTTATTTTTCCCCCTTATTTTTTAAATTAAATTATTATCTGTGTATATATCTTACCATTGCCCCCCCTCCCCCCCATACATACCCTCCCTCCCCAGAGTTTTGTGTCCATTGGTTGTACTTATATGCATATATACAAGTCCTTCGGTTGATCTATTATCTCCCCTTTGTGTTCATTTATAGTTGGTTCCTGCTTCTACCTCCAAATCTAGGCAATTCTTGACCTATTATTTGACTATCGTTTTGTCTTTTGTAGAAATTTCACATAGATGGCATCATACAATATGATTTTGTGTTTGGCTTCTTTCACTTAGACTAATGTTTTTAAGGTTCATCCATGCTTTAGCATGTATTAGTACTTCATTCCTTTTTGTGGTTGAATGATACATAGTTATACCACATTTGTTTGTCCATGTAATAGTTGATGGACAGTTGGGTTCTTTCCAGTTTATGGTTATTATGAATAATGCTGTGAAATCAATTACAAATCTTTATGTGGACGTATGTTTTCATTTCTCTTGGGTGGATATCTAGGAATGGAATTTCTGGGTTGTATGGTGAGTTTATGTTTAACTTTCTAAGAAACTGCCAAACAGTTTTCCAAAGTGGCAGAACCATTTACATTCGCACCAGTAATGTAGAGGCTTCCAGTTTCTCCATGTCTTTGTCAGCAGTTGGTATTGTCAGTTTTTTTGCTTATAACCAGTTTAGTGGGTGTGTAGTGGTATCGCGTGATTTTCATTTCTCTAATGACTGATAGTGTTCTGCATCTGTATATTTCCCTTTATCAAGTGTCTGTTGAGATATTTTTTATTGGATTGTTTCTCATCTTATATTTGTTCTGAGTTCTAGATACAAGCTCTTTATCAGAAAATGATTTTACAAATATTTTCTTATCTGTAGTTTATCCTTTCATTTTATAATGGTTTTTATTTGAAGAGTAATTTGTCAACTTTTCTCTCCCCGTTTGTGGATGGTATTTCTGTTATAACTAAGAAATCTTTTCTTGACCCAAGACCACAAGGATCTTCTTCTTTATTTTCATCTAGACTTTTAAGTTTTAGCCTTTTGTTGAGGTCTTTGATCCATTTTTGAATTCTTTTTGTATACAGTATAAGGTAAAGGTATATACTTTTTTTGATTGGCACCAGGTGTATGGATATCGAGTTGTACTAGCACCATTTGTTTAAAAGACTTCCCTTTACCCATTGATTTCCTTTTAGCACCTTCGTTAAAAATAAGTTGACTTTAAATATGTGGGTATATTTCTGGTCTCTGTTTTGTTCTTTGATTCATTTGTTTACCCTAATACCAATACTATGTTGTTTTGAGTACTAAAGCTTTTTAGTACATTCTTTTTCTTTTCTTTTTTATTGAATTTATTAGATGACATTGGTTATTAAAATGTATGGTAAATTTTGATACCTGATAGTGTAAGTCCTCAAACTTTATTCTTTTTTTTTTTTTTTCATGATTTCTAAACACTTTGCATTTCCAGATAAATTTTAGGATCAGCTTCTCAATTTCTACAAAAGCCTGCTGGATTTTTAATAGGGATTATCTTAAATCTATAGATCAATTTGCTGGGAGAATTGTCAACTAGTTTCATGTAGTATTAGGGATTTATTGGAAATTTGCTATTTTTCTTGAGTCTCAAATTGGATCTCTTATCAGTGAATCTGCTCTCTTTCTGTGCTCTGATTCTTTAGGGTGTACAAATGCCTAATTTAGATCTTAAGGAAAAAGTGGAGCCTGAGGTTCTTGGCACTGAAATCCAAACTTCCCCAGAGCCGGGCACAAGAATGAATATTCTGCCAAAGAGAACAAGACGTGTCAAGTCTCAGGTATACATTTCCATGGGCCATTTTTAACAGGAATTTTAAATGCATCACGGTGCATCTGGTTATGGGAAGTCATTCAAATATTGTTATTCATTAAAATTTAAATAGACATATCTTTAAATTACTTTTGAGATGAATGGGGAAGAAATTATAAAATTCAGTCTAATTTGTTTTTTGTTAATTTTTGAATAGTTTTGGACAGGAATGGCAAATAAGAGGATGACTCTGGATATTCTAGGGTCAGTTTTCCAGACATGCTCATGAAATGGTTATCAGAAATGAGAGGAGTAGGAAAGAGTGGTCTTGTATTTCACTGGTCATTCCTTTAAGAACCAGAATATAAATTTCTTAGTGTCTTGATCATTTCAGTGTAACTTCTATACTGTTCTTATAACCTAAAATAATTTCAAAGCCTAATAGATGCATCAGAGAAGTGCCCTAATTTCTTTTGGTCTGCTCTTCCTTACTATTCCCATTTCTCTGTGGTCCTAAAAGTTGTATATTTTTTTAGAATTTTCACCGACGATATGTTTTTATTGATTTTTAGGGAGAGAGCAAGGGAGAAACATCGTGAGAGAAACATTGATTGGTTGCCTCCTGTATGGATCAAACCCGCATTCTAAGTATGTGCCCTGATTGGGCATCAAGCCAATTGGCCAGAGCTCCATAGTTGTCCTTTTTAAGGTTTTTGTTAAAGGAAAGTCAATAAGCTGGGACAGTGAGGTGCCCTTAGAACTCTGAGATGTGGTCCATTTAAATTAAACATAAAAGTAGCCGAGACCGGTTTGGCTCAATGGATAGAGCGTCGGCTTGGGGACTGAAGGGTCCCAGGTTCGATTCCGGTCAAGGGCATGTACTACCTTGGTTGCGGGCATATCCCCAGTGGGGGTTGTGCAAGAGGTAGCTGATCGATGACTCTCTCTCATCGATGTTTCTAACTCTCTATCTCTCTCCCTTCCTTTCTGTACAAAATCAATAAAAAAAATATTAAAAAAAAATAAACATAAAAGTAGATAAAAAATACAGCTTAACTGGATCTGATCATTGACTTGAACATATCTAAAAAATAATGTGTTGAAAGGATAGGAATGATTTACATAGAAAGTGGGAATCAGAAAGAAGATAGGTCATGACAAGACACTGTATCAAGAGACACTATCTGGGTGGTAAGGAGTCTTGTCACTGTAGAGGCAGGCTAGTGATATATATATTTTTAAATATATTTTATTGATTTTTTACAGAGAGGAAGGGAGAGAGATAGAGAGCTAGAAACGTCAATGAGAGAGAAACAACGACCAGCTGCCTCTTGCACACCCCCTACTGGAGATATGCCCGCAACCAAGGTACATGCCCTTGACTGGAATCGAACCCGGGACCTTTCAGTCCCCAAGCCGACGCTCTATCCATTGAGCCAAACCGGTTTCGGCTGCCACCATTTTTGTTGGGATTTATTTATCTTCTATGATTGAAACTTTGTAGCCTTGAGTGGAGGCCTGGGCCCACCAAGGTGTGTGGAAAGCTTGGCTTCCTCCATTGCTGGGGAAATCCAAGCTTCCCTCCTGCTCGCTTTGTGGCTACAGCCATCTAGATTGGGGGATTTGCATACTCACTCCTGACTGGCGGATGAGTGTGGTTTGTGGACATGGCTTGTGGGTGTAGCGGAGTGATGGTTAATTTGCATATTACTCTTTTATTAGATAGGATTACATATATCAGGATATTGTAAAAAGTTACAAAACTTTTTATTTATTTTTTTATTTTTTTAAATTTGGGAAAATGGGGCCAGGCGGGAAGTCCACCTCTAGTGGGAAGACTAACCCCTCTCTGGCCTTTTACCATTCCTTTTATTGAAATTCTGAAACAAAGACATCTCTTAGGCGGGAAGTTCCAACAACAGAAAATCAACTTACATTTACATATGATTAACAAATTAAAGTTGCCTCAACTATCACTATCTCAACTAGACAATGAGTTAATAGCTCCGACCATTCAGAGACATCAAGGTTGGCTAGCTCTTTATGCATTTTATCTCCAGTAACTCAACTTAGAGTCAGTGAGTTAATAGCTCTGACCATTCAGAGCCATCAAGCCTGACTAGCTCTTTTTACTTTTTAATACCAGTGACAATGTTAGGTTTCGGTTCCTGGCATCTCCCCCCAATTCCTTCCTTTAAAAAATCTTGCATTTACAGACCAGGAATAAACATATAAGAACAAAAAATGTTTGAGTCCCAATTTCAAAGTTCAAGAATTCTAAGTCTAAGTTTCAATGTCCAAAAGTTTTGAGTCCAAGTTTTAATGTCCAAAAGTTCTTCATGTGTACATGTCAGCAATGATATCTGGATGGTGGACAAATGGTGGCGATACAGGTCCGACCCTCTCTGGTTTGGTCCTGGACAACCTGCAGCGACACACAGCTGCTGACTGCTGGCATGGCAAGGTGTCGTCAGCGTCCCCCATGTCTGGACTGTTTCTCCTGTCTTCATGGCTGGAGCATTCCTCTAATTCCTCTGTTGCAGGAACCCACATGGTCTTGGAGTTGTTTTCTGAAAATATACAAACATATCTCGACCAAAATTAATAAAGGAATCTTTTCTATAAATTTTACTTGGAATACTTTTTTTTAAAAAAAAATATATATTTTATT